CATTTTGGCATTACTAAATGCATGTCCCCCAATAGCCCCTGCTCCTCTTTTCCGAAGTTTCAATTGAATTTGTATTATGTTTGTAATTCAATATCTTAATTTTGTTCAGATCCCACTTATTTCAGTCTTTACCAAAACTATGGAGAAAAGAAAAGCATATAATGTGTGCCGTGTTTGCATTATCCTTCTCAGAGTTTTCCTTCTGACTCCTATCTACTGTACACAGTGATTATGGGGCCCAAGCTATTCATCTTGTTAGTTATCCGGCCCGAGTTTGTCATATTTCCAGTGATTCGACTCGCGCCAGTCGATTTTTCTAGTTATCCGGCCCGCCGTGAAAAAGGTTTGGTGACCACCCCTGGATCAGAGGGCTGATAGACTACTACTGGTGCTGCTGACGTTGTTTCATACCCCGAAGCATCGCATAACGCCACCATAGACACATCACGGGAGAAGCGTCCCAGTCATTACTGGCAATCGGAAGATTGGTAATTGGAACGCCGCTGTCATTTCAAGAAACATAAGTGTCAAAAATGTAGCTGATATGGGTCCGATGAAAAATGCAGCCACAAAAATGGAAGACCTGTTTCGAGGAAAAATGTGTGGCGCAAGTGCCGACCATTCAATCTATGAATGCCTTTTCACGACAACCCTAGCGAAGTATGCTTCCAAAAAGAAGTGTGTAAACTTCGAAATTAATAGCACATCGGCTTATCTAACACTCAAAACTGCTTCGGTTATCACAGTAATTTCTAAACGAACGTGGATGGCACTTGGCGGACCAACAATCTATCCAACATCCAATAGCATTTGCAACGCCGATGGCGGTGTTTGAAGCTCGTTAGATATCTTGTCAGGTAATCATCATAAATATTACATTCACGAGGACGACTTATCTGACAAACGCTCCAGTACTCGACTCGTGGAAGGCGAATGGATTAGTGAGCTTAAACAGTTGGGAAGGCCAATTAACCACTGGGGCAACAATAGCTCTTTAGCACCGTAATGAAATATCAGTGCCATGAACTATAGTAACCGAACCTAACACAAACGCACCACTCAAAAATCTCAGAGGGAACAGTCACATAAATATCGGAAAGGTTCCTGATGCCTTACAGAACAAAACTAAACTATTAGATACCTGAAATTTTATCACTAGGTGAAGCGCTTATAGAGAAAAAGGTTCGATTTCCATAGTACAGCCTCCAACTGACCGGCATTGAAAACGGAGGACGAAATGAAGCAGTAAGAGTGCGTTCGACAGACGGTATGCAGCAAGGTTTAGACCATTGTTTGTCGGTCAGTGTCCTGACGCGCGATTATCGCAACTCTTACGTATCTTGGTGAATGAGAAGGACTCAAAAGAAAAAGGCTTACACGCAACATGGAGTTTCGTGTCCAAAGCGTAGGACAGATAGAACGCGAAAGTAGATACGCCCGTCGCACATAATTAAGCGGCTGAGTTCCTACGGCCAACGCACTTCGGCCGAAGAGATTAGGTATCTGGTTTCCAAGTCAAAGGTCACCGGTTCTGATCTACTTAGGTGCAAGCGGCCCCGTAGTATCCCCGACCAGCGCGCGAATTATGGTGGTTGCGTGATTATTGTCCAGGAGAAAGTAAGAGTTTCCCGGAAAAACCATTAGTCCAGCAGTAGATTGATAGTTACCGATTATTGCATTGATTTCAAACATTCTGGCATGTTCCAAAGCTGCACGTGACGGCACAAGCTCCCGAAGATTGGCTGGATCGGAATGACACTGCTAATTTGAACCGTTGACTTATCTACTCTAAAAGTCAAGTCACTGGGTGACCAATTAACATGGCCGAGGTTGACCTGTATGGTACATTGTTTTTGGCGGTCGTTAACAAGTTATCATACCAAGGTAGTTTGAGTTCCGATTTTTCCTCCGGTCGTGCTGGAAATCTTGCAGAGAAGTGAGATGCTTTATTCGGAATCGTAACAAAGTGGAGAGATCTAACAGTGGCCAAGTGTTGGCGCGGCACACCGGTGTACTGATGGTGATGACTTTCTTTACACTTCAGAGTACAAGTCAGAGTTAGGTTAACCTGAACGCGAACTGTTGTTGAACGACTGACCAGCTACAAACAATCTATTTTTGAACAAGTAATTAGAACGAGACACGAGGGACTGTCTGATCCAATTTGAAAGTCATGCTATCCACATTGACCTTTCCATTAGTGCCCTTCCTATTACACCGTTATAACAATTAACGGCCAAATACCCTGAGCGGCCTGGTGGGCGTGAGTCCATTATAGGTTGGGAGGTGGACCTCTGAAAGAATTCCTTACAGTTAGTTGCAGACGAGCACGAACGAAAAGCAAATGTTCCACCAAAACGACTATGCTGAATGCTAGCCAAGTCAGCTGACAAGGCAAAAATATGGCTTAAAGGCGTTACCTTGTTGACGACTTGCACTGACGGCTTCGTTGGGTACATATGGCAGAAAACTGTTCGGAGGATATAAGCTGCAAATCGAAAGACAAAATATAGATAAGTTGCATATGGAGCTGGTTCACATCATACAGTAAAATCTCAGTAGGTTGACCACCCAAGGGACTGGACCAAGGTGGTCAACATGGAGGTTTTAGGCCAAAATTTTGTGTAACCCTTTTTCCAGTTGTGAGTAGTATGGTATGAAAGTTATTTTCACACAAACCCGTTTCGAATGCATTAGACGAGGTCCCAAGTAACAGCAAACGCAGTTCAACCATATGTGCGATAAAAAATCTAACGCAGCGTGCATTTTTCAAGTTGAAACATTTTTGATGAAAAGTCAATCAATGTTTCGTTCACACTGTAGGTAACTGAAAAAGCACTCTCAACACAAGCTACACTACTCAGCATGTTTGGACATTTTTCCACAGCAAAAATTTCAGTTGCATTTAAAGATGTGTGAGATCATCTTCCTTTGGAGTTTCTGTGATTTCAAAATCATCGCCACTCAGTCCTTCTTCTTCATCAGCATACTCAAGTGTTTGTTGTTTCCGTAGGGAAGTATGACAGTCAGTATTACTTGAAAATAGCATCTGGCCCAGTTCACTACAAGTTACGAAGTCATCCATTTCAACAAACTCTTTAGAACCTTCCCAGTTGAATTCTGTCAATTGAGGTGTAATGTCTAGTAAGTCGACGGCACCCCGCTGGACAGATTAAACAAATTCAGGTTTTCTGAAACACTTTTGTATAATTTCTGGTTGAACTTTGAACCAAGCGGAACTTATCCAAAGTATGGCATCCAGAGTATTAACTGAAGCAACAGATGAAGTTCCTTCCGCATTTAAATCAACAGTATGCAATCTGCCATAGCCCTTTGCATGAGTTGGGTTTGATAGTGCACTTTGAACATTTTGATTATACCTTGGTACAGAGGTTGCATTGATGTCATGTTTGAAGGCAGAAACTTAAGTGAGATTTTTTTTACATAGGTGTGACTAGGACAGCTGTCCACTGTTAGGATAATGAAGCGTTTCTTCTTCATCATTTCCTTGTCGATGCTTCTGATCCAGTCCTCACATATGGTAGCAGTTATTCACGCAGATCGGTTTGTTCTCCAGGTGACTGGAAGGTTTTCAGGATTTACGTTTTTGAACGCATGTGATCAAGCTGATTTACTAATGACTAAGAGCTTAAGCTTCTCGTTGCTTGATCTAGCGCATAACACAATTGGGAAACGTTCTTTGGAATGTTTTCCACTATTCCTCCTTTATAACAAGGCTTCTGTGTTAGGCATCGCCTTGTAAGAGAGACCGCACTCGTCAGCGCTAAAATTGTCGTCCTTGTTGAAGCCCTTCCTGAAGTTAGAAAAATTTTCCATGAAGTCTTGTACAAACTCTTCAGGCACTGCATTGGATTCACTACACAAAACTCTTTGAGAAATTTCACGTCAGAGTTTAAATTTCGCTAGCCAATCATTGGATACCTGGAAATCCGTAACCACAAATTCTTGTGAGAACCTTTTAGAAATTTCTTAAAGCAACGGCCTAGAAATTCGAGCGTTAGCTGTCCTCATTTGCTGGAACCAGCGCAGTGTAATCTCACTGACTTCATCGTGTGAAGTTTTCCGCCTCTTCCGCCGTTGAGCTTCCCTTTCATTATCGTATCTCTCCAAGTACTCGTGTTTATGTCTTTGGATGTTACTAACTGTTGTCTTGCCAACACCAAAATGCTCTACCATCTTAAAGTGGCTACTACTCTCCAGAAAATGTAGCAGACTAACCGCTTCCATCAAGGTCAACACGCTGAGATCTTTTCTTTGATCCACAACGTTGATTTATCCGTAATAACCGATGCTAAGTTGTTCAAAGCACGCAGTAGATTTAAAGTCTACGATTCTATTTACGTAATTTTAATTACGTGCAATAACTAACCTGAATTGGTTTCACCCTCAGACAGACATCAAATAGAGCCGGATAAACGCTGGACAATTAATGGGGGCGTACACGTCATTCTCGCCATAATCTAAGGTGCTAATGAACTGGTGCTTAGCCATAGTAGTTAATCGAGGTTTTGACAGTCACACAAACTGCTGACTGCGGCCTGTGCGACATATGATCTTAGGGGTTGACGAAAGCCTGTCGGTGTATGTGGACAGGCGAGGGAGGTTTGACGCAAATCGCTGTCATTCCCGTAAGCGCGCAGCGGTGGGGACTCACATTGATGTGGGTAATACACGTGCGTGTAAACGTAGACGGCCGGGATAAATGGTTGGCAGCATCCGGATTCGGAGTTGTCTGTCACTGTGGACAGCCAAAGGACGCATGCGCCCACAAAGGGACCATGGGTGGCTTGCGCTGCACCACCCACAGCTCCAACCCATATCCAGTGTAAACCCGAAAGAATAAGACCCGAAGACATGTGGATGGGAGCCACGTTTCATCAACGGAACCGGCCCACACTCCTTCACAGGCAAACAGAAACACGCTGTATTTGGGGAATCAAGCGCACACAAGGCGGTGGCTGGACCGTAGTCCGCTCCACACTGAGTGCATGGAACCACTCTTCGAGTCTAGCATGACCACAAGGACCGTGCACCCCGTACCCCTACAGCAACGACCAACTATCTCCTAGAGCCAGTATGAAGGAGGTAGTGGGTAAAAGACAAGTAAGCATCTTGTCAAGATGCACATCAAGCGCAGCCACATCGGGAATATCAAACAACAGCCAATCACTTGAAAGGACATGATCAAATAAAATATATCTGTTAAAGAATACGGCTATGCGGACATAACTCTTCCCTAAATTAGCATATGATGTAAGTTGGTTAGCAACGAATCCGCGATAAGCACAAAATGTCCAGAAGTTACTCAAAAATGCTACAAACGCAATAAAGTTAACAAAGATAACCACAACTAGCGTAAGCAGCGTGACCAGGTTGGCAGCACAAACCGAATAAAGTGGAATGAAATGTATCCAGCTTAAAAAGACCTAGTTTAAGTGTAAGTTGGTTTAGCCCAACTGCGGTGAAGAAGCATCATAAATGCAACATCAGCTTCAGCATGGGACCGGGATAAATACGCATACACCTACACACAGAGAACATACTGTATCCTCAAACGTAAACTTCACCGATTTGGGGGTCAGAAGTCCACAAATAGCAGTCCCGCTGCACGTTGTTATCGGAACAAACAAGCCATTTGGGAACCGTTGGACGGCAAGCCCTCAAATGGTCAAGAATGAAGTATCACTGACTATAGAACTTCGAACTTACAGAGGTGTTTAACATACAGAGGTGTGGTTCCATAGAGTTTACACCGTGACCACCCGAGCTATGGAAAAGTGGTTAACATAAGGAGGTGATCAACTTTGGAGGTTTACTGTATGTAGTAACGGAAGAAATGATAGAGGTAGACTGGATAACAAAAATGGTGAAATCGACAAACTTGAGAGAAGTTACTCACTGAAACAGCGACAAAGCCAACAGAGGTCTGCCTGTTTTGTGCTAGCCAGAAAGTGACGATTTAGTGGCAATTGCTCTATACATAGAAAAGCAGAATTTTACCAAATGAACGTAACCCTGTTACTTTTGTCGTACTCATAAGCAACCGTCGTAGAGGTGATTGGCTTTGATGTAGCAGCGGTGGCAGATAGGGAAAATTTAAAACAATAAGTTCTACTAAGTAGTATCGAAACACAGTGAGAAAAATAATTTCGGCAGATGCATGCATTTCGCATCATTTCATCAGAGTTGATAAAGAAAACTGGAAATGATATACACAATCGTCAGTGGGTGTAAACAAACTTACAAAAATGTAAGGAAAAACAGTAATCTCGCCCTAACGCCCAGGGCAACATAAGGCTGACTAATAATTGCTTCAGGACACAAAGTGCCGATTTAAGCCGTATTGCCTCAACAGCCTCGACGGAACGGAGGCGGGAATTGGTACGCCACAACAGAGCTTAGAATGGCGCGCTGATCTCAACCAGTTGACATGAGGTCAATAAATGTCTGTTAGGCGAAGATGCTGGCGGCCGGCGTGATTAAGTAGCCCGAGCTGTGTATGCTTCTTGTGCAGTCTCGCATTGTGTCCACTTCAGCATGCGCTCGTTCCCTCGTGAATTCAGGGTCCTATCTGTTCTTCGTATGCAAGTATCTATAGTTAAACACGAAGTGGCATATACTAGGGGGGTTGGCCACGATAGGCTGTTTCCTTCAGTGGACGCAGTGGCAGCTCGTGGATTCGGCCGATGATAATCATTAACGCGGCATAGAAAATGCTCTGTGTGGCAGTGATCAGACATCGGGTAGTCCTGGGGGTAGCAATGTCATCCTTAAAGGGTAGCTGTAAGAAGATTTTCTTTTTAGGCACGGTAGGCACTGAAGCACTCAGTCCGCTGATTTGGTTGTATTTCTCCATGAAAATCCGAGAGTTTCTACCATGACATTTGTAATCAGCACCAGTTCATCAGTATGGCAATAGGTCGAGTATATTGGTCTAACATGAACAAATAAGGTCTCCGCAAGCGTTCGCCGGTGTAACATTGGTGTGTAGCTGATAAAATGCAGGCACTTGCCGGATCACACTGCTTTTTGTAGACCGACTTTTAAACATAGCGCGCGTGCACTAATGTGATGGGAGCCGACTGTTGGTGATGTAACAGGGACGAACCACACAAGTAGCGACTGTCCAATGCAATGGAAGCAGATATGAATAGCGCACGCGGTAAGTATTACTTCATGAGCAACAGTGGCAAAACGTCGCCACGATGCAATCTTTACAAAATCGATGCGTATTTTGTTTTCGAACTGAGAATTACTTTACATGTTCATCGAGAGGTGCAGCCAAACAAACCGCTTTTGAGGTATAGTGATGGAGGTACGGAGTCGGAATGAACAGATGGATCGAAAGAATCAACCAAATACCATGCGTTGCTGTCAGCCTTAGCGGCTTCAAAGATTGACTGACATTCCTCGCTGTCAGTTTAACAGTCAAAGGGGAAAGATTACCGGCCCCCAAACGTTGTCATT